CGGGATAGGGCCCCCCGGTTGGGAAGAGTTGGGGGAGACCTGGATTGTTTGCAGGGGAGACGCTCAGTACACTAGATACTGGGGAGGGAAGAGGAGTTGTGAGACCAGAGTTAAGTCCCCAAACTGCCCACCCCCTGTTGGAACAGCAAGAATAAATAAAGCTAAGTTGCAAAATCACGCACCAGGCCACTGTTCCCCGAGTGATGGGATGGGTGTATTGGTCGGGCCTAAGTTCCAGAAACTGCGGCCTAAGGTCCTCCTCTGGACAGAGCGCTGATTAATCCACTCTGTGCACTGAGTGCTCATTCTCCCTCCTGCTTGACTGACTCCTCTCAGACTTTCCATTCTAGTTTCCTTACCGCCTGCACATGGAGGCCATAGTTGGACCTGCACTTTGATGATCTTTAGTTTCTATTTTTATAATAATCTGCGTTTTTCTACGCCTTTCAAATCCCTTTCCGTCTCCTAGCAGGACTCATCCTATGCTAATCCTATCCCTTTCTTTTGACTCTACCGAAAGGATATTTTAGCAAACTTTTTTGATTTAAAGACACACTCCCCTTGTGGCCACGTGGATGGCCAAATGGAGTAGGGAGAAGTTGGAGGCAAAAATATTTATTGGTAGGATATGTGGCGGCAGGAAAATAAAGGGCTAATGCTAATAGTTCTGGGTAAGTGGAGTGCCTTAGAGTAATAACGCGTTGCAGTTGTGATGTAGTACATGAAAGAAAGCTAGTTACAAAACCATGTTCAGTATGATCTCATTTTTATAAAAAATATGTGTGTAGAAAAATATCTGGATTGAAGACCTCAATGGCTGAAGGCGAGAGGAAGACAGCCCTGGAAATGGTCCAGGCAGCTGGAACAGATAGACACTGTGTGACATTTGTATTGCACGAGGAGGACCATACCCTAGGAAACTCTCTTCGTTACATGATCATGAAGAACCCGGAAGTGGAATTTTGTGGTTACACCACAACCCATCCTTCAGAGAGCAAAATTAACTTGCGCATACAGACTCGAGGTGCCCTTCCAGCTGTTGAACCCTTTCAGAGAGGCCTGACTGAGCTCATGAATGTCTGCCAGCATGTGCTTGACAAGTTTGAGGCCAGCATAAAGGAGTATAAGGATCAGAAAGCAAGCAGAAGTGAATCCACATTCTAGCCCCTTATGCACTGTACAGGGAGCACTGACCTCTAGGATATTCTATTTGTGATCTTGCAAAACCCAGAAGTAAAAGTATGTGAATGTCCTTCAGAAAGGCGGGCTTCTAGCTCTTAACCCATTTCCGCTGTTGGAATCCCTGCAAGAACCTTTGTATTATTCTAATAAATTCCCTCTTTTATTTAAACTGACTTGAGTGGTTTCTATTCCTTTGTCCTTGAGGTTGACTATTTTAGGGTTTTTTTTTTCCTTTTAAATGAAGCAACATTGAAAATGAGATAACTGTGAGAAAATCAGGGCTTGGACTTTGATCAAGGGAATTAAAAGGAATGTGTGTGCACAGCTGTGATCAGAGGAGAGGGAGAGATGGCGATAGAGCATGACCCCAAATGGACTAGATGGTTCAGAAGGAAAGGTGGGAGTAAAGGGAAGACTTGTTCGCTTCCTAGATGTTTTTTAGTAATTCATGAGAGAATTGCAGCCTTTGCTATGATTGGTAGATTGAGCAAGGGTGGGAAATAACTTGAAAGAATTGTGAGTATTCTGGTGTCACCTGAGAAGTTTAGGTAGACTCAGCTCCATCTTTGTGGTAGCATTTATAAGATTTATAGGATACCAGCTTACTGCCTTAATTTTAGCACACTAATATAGAAGGAGAAAACTGGGGTAACCAGATAACATTTTCAGTCCTTGGGTAGGTACCTCAGTATAGCCCAGGGTTACATAAAACTAGCCGTATTTGAGAGAAAGTAAGGACGGGAGGAGGAAAATCTCTTGTGGGGAAAATGATTTTTTGGAAAACCTAAAATGTTAGTGAAAGACACTTAAGAGCTGTCCTGTTTACCTCTTTGTGTCTCACACCTGTCCTACCCCATCTTAACTCTTTAATTCACCCTAAATATCTCTCAATCTTAAATGTCTGAGCACCCCACGCCCCAGGACTCTGAGAGGGGGATGTGCTTTAGGTATGGAAGTCAGGGAGGGTCTTCAAGAGATTACAGGAAGAGAAGGAGTTGGCTGTGCAAAAAGAAAAAGCATTCTTGGAGAATAGCATATGCATAACACTGGTGGTTTGAGGAATTAAAGGTATTGAAAGATTTGCATATCTGTATCCTGGCCATCAAGGAGAAGGGCCTATAACAGACTTGATGGGAGGAGCTTTGGGCGGGAAGCAGTTTGGAAAGTACAAAGAGAAGACCTCTGGGTATTCGATTACGGTGTGGCGGAACAGGTTGTAGAGAGGCCAGCGTAGAAGCAGAGAAACTAAGGGTTGAAGTGGCCTGGAAGGGCCGTAAGCTAGCGATGGAGAGAAGAGCGTAAACCTCAGGAACTGGATGTGGAAGGTGAGGACAGAGGAGGATGATTCCTGTCTAGGTTTGGTCTCAAATGACTGAAATGGGAAGCTTAGGTGGGGAGAATTGGTTGGGAGGTGAGAAGCTGACTGGAATGAAACGTTCCATTTTGAGCAAGGTAGTCAGTAGATAGGAGTTGGAGACCATGAAAGAGATTTAAGTAGAGAGAAACTTTGTGAGTTCTTGCCACAAAGATGGTGTAAATCCATAAAAATGAGTGTGGCAAGGAAGGAGGCACAAGACCAAGCCTGGGGTGAGCTCAGCCTTCAAAGGCTGGGTTGAAGGAGCAGCTGGTGAAGTGGTGGGAGAGTCTGTAGGAAGTCGAGTGGGGGAAGCCAAGGCTTTCAAAGAGGGGAGAATGATGTTGAATGAGTCACATGAGGACAGAAAAATGTCGGTTGGAATTAACAGGGAGGTCACTGGGCAGCTGGCAGCATTAGTGTAGTGCCTACAAAGACATTAACACTCGCACAGAAGAAGGGCCTAGTGTGGGTTTTCCAATAAAGCAAATACACCGTAGGACACTGGAGACTGTAAGTGGAAGCAGGGGTGGATGGGGAAAGATCAAAATTACGAGGCAAGGACTGGGAGCATTCTCCCACAGTGGCGGTGAGAGGTGCCAGGAAGCCAGTGTCAGTTTAAGGACGTTGGCCCTTGCAGATGTAAGCAGGTCCTAAAAAGGTCAGTGTAAAAGTGACCACAAACGTCTTTGCCTCTTCTAAAGTTTTGCCTGTGAGTAGTTGGGTGGGGATAGTAAACAGGATTATTTAAGCGAAGTTGAATACTTAGGAGGCAAGGCCTGTTAGGAGATGAAAGCCAAGTTTAATGAGTTGACACAGTGAAGCAGAATGGTGATAGCGACTAAGTAGTCAGTGACAGTGCACAAGGGAAACCCACTCACCACATCTCATGGTCTCACTGCTCCTAAAAGGATTTTTCATCACTGATGATGTAGCATTCAGTCTTGAATCTGTTTAGGGTCACCATAAACTCGGGTTTATGCAGAACACCTTCACAAGGCAGATGGGTGAAAGGAAAAACAGGGCAGGGCAGCAGGATATCCAAGAGTCACGTAGATGTGGGAGAAACCTTTGCAAAAAGTCTAGGAACATGAGAGAAGGCAGAATTGGTCTATGAAAAAGTGAAGGAGATACATAAAAATCATATTTATCTGTATAAACTGAAAAAACTTGATCAGGTGTCTCTGATTTGCTCTCTAACAGCATTTCACTCTAAGTAAAATAGTATTAATGGTTCAAGCTCAGAAATTCTGTTCAACCATAAAGTACTATGCCTTTTAAGGAGCTAATTATTAAATAAAATGATTATATACCAAAGGCTTTTAATATATAATGATTGAGTACTTAACTAGCACTTTCCATTTTCAAAGCACTTTACAAACTAATTATTCATAAATTGCATATAGCTGTAACATCTAAGTGTTCTAATTAGTTGTTATAACACATAGGTGCCTACGAAATCTCTGGAGATGAAAAGGTGTCTGTACAGGAAGTGGTCCAATGAGTGCCATTCTGACCCAAAGAGTGTCTTACATTTCTAGAAATATGAAAGCTTACCAAAGTTTTATGGCCCACCATTCCCCACCTTTCTTTTTGTTAACCTTAAACATGTTATTAAGACTATAGCCAGTCTCCAGGTCACTGAAGTCATCTTTTTTAGTTAGCAAGATTTAGAGCCAATCTTTGTAATATCCCTCAAACTGGACTTCTAGGGAATTTGCCTAAATCCACCAGTCTGCTTTCAAGTACTTAAAAAGACCCCAAATCCAACCGTTTTGTGCTCAAATTCTTAATGTTGGTTTTCTTTTGCATTTGAAAATTTATAAACTACAGTTACTGTGTGGTCTGTTTTTCTTTTTCCACGATGAAATTCCTTCCAAACCCACATTTTTGGATCTCTATGCAGCAAACATGTACACCTCAGAAATGATGGAGATAATGAGAATATAATGAGTCTGTCTGAACAAGCCCTCTGGTTTTGGAGAGGGCAGACAAGAGCAGTACACTTGAGAAAGATACAACAACTCAAGACACATTTACGACGAAGCACCCTAACGTGCAGTGTAGGATATTATCTGCTGAATACAGAATGGAATTGGCGAGGACACTCTTGAAGCAAAGTTGGTCTCGTGCACACCCACTCTGCCAGCCACTGTCCTAGGCACCGCAGAAAGCAAACAAAACAGGCGACCTGCCTTCCAGCAACGCCTGGAGTACTGAAGTAGGCAGACGTGTAAAACAGTGTTCCGGGATAAACAGTTTCCTCCTTCCCAGTGGAAAGAAGCCGTTAAAAGATTCTTGAGCTAGGGAATGCCAGAAAGGTTTCAATTTTCCATGCCTGTGCAGAATGGATGAGTGGAAGGAAACATGGCAGACAGCGGCGAGTGGGGGGCATCTGTAACAGTCCAGGAGTGACATAAAGGGGAATGAGGTCAAAGGACAGATACCAAAAAACTGCTGGAAAAGAATTTAAATAACTTGGAGGCAGACTCCGGATAGGGGTCAAGCTGAGAGGGTTGAACATGGCCATGTATCTTTCACCCCTCTGTGTTCCTGCTACTCCCTCACAGCCAAAACCAGGATGGCAGGATTTGCCATCTCCCTCCCTACCCGTCAGAAGCCCACCCCTACCTCCTTCCCATACCCGTGTCAGAAGAATCCACATCTTTAACAAGGCCAGGACTCCAGGGCCATAGATGTGGAAGCTGGAGGAGAGGGAGGAGGCCAGGCAGTGAGTGACCAGCTCTTGCCACTGTCTGCCCCAATAACTGGCTCTTCTCAGAGGGAGCACTGTATTCATTCATTCATTCATTCATTCATTCCACAAAATCACTGAGTGCACGCTAGATGCAGGCATGGCTTAGGTACATGGGGGACAGCAGGGAACAAGTTGCCCCATGTGCACTCTATTTTCTACTGGCAGAAGTAGAAAATAAAAATGCATAAATTTATAAGGTAATTAAGGTAGTGATGTAAATGGGAAGCAAATCCTGGGGTCTGAGTAGTTAAGGAAGGCTTTTCTGAGGTGACATAGAAAGAGACCAAGGAAAAATGAGAATATGCTCAGAATTTTTTAGAAGAGGAAATTAGATTATTCAGCAACAAAAGAGCAAAATTAGGAACCTTTTAAAAGGAATAAACTTTCACCATTGTATGTGTGTGTAGTGTTTATTAGTGCCTGGATTTATATCACTTACCTTTAATCTCTACATGTATTTACCTAATAACTGTAGTAGAGAATCTCAAGTTACCGTGTGGGGCCGTAGGGTGTCACTGGACTTTGGGATTGGCTAACATGGTATGTGTATCAGGAGAGTTGATTTTAATCTTGGTTTTGGTATTTTTGAGAGAAGCGTATCTTTCTTAGAAGCAGAAGTGGATGAGCTTGGGATCCTGCACATCTTTTCAGGCCAAGTGACTGCGAGGCAGCATAGTGTGGGAGTTGAGAGCTTATTGCACCGTTGGAATCACACTGCCAGAGCCTTGTCCGGCACTAGACTTTTTAGCTCTGTGACCTTGGACGAGCTGTTTGAACTCTTTGTGCCTGAGTTTCTTCATCTGTGAGATTGGGATTAACAACGATACTTACCATATAGGAATGTTACAACTACTAATTTAGACAATAGAATCGAAGCACTGAGGACACCGGCCATGTAGCACGCTCTCAGTCAGTGTTACTAGTAATGTCATTATTACGATATCACTAATTGTGTCCAGCACGCTGGTTTCGTTCAGATTTCTTCTGGGTGAAAACTTAAAAACACCTTGGCATCCTCTGCAATTTTTTGTTTGTTTCCTCTGGCCCAAGGCAGCACTATAATATAAATTTGCAGACCCCTGTATGGAAGCTTATCGGTCTGCTAAAGCCATTGCTTTTAAAAAAAGATAGTTTAAAATAGCATTCCTAATAATTGAATATAGATAAAAATCAAAGATAAATGGATTGTGTTTCTCCTTTTGTCACAAAGAAGTGGAGATTCTGATGGAACCTTCGTAATCTTCCCCAAGCTTCAAGACAGAGGTTAAGCGGGAAGGAAAAGTAGGTTCAGTAGCAGATGGATACCTGGCTGGGTGCCAGGTATCTGAATATTGATAGGAAGTCAGGGCCCCAGCTATGTCAGCTAAGCATAAACTTGCATATAATAGAATATATTGGTGCTTTACCTACTGATTCTCAGCAAATGTCACGTTTGCTATGCCAGGCTCTTAATAAACGTCAAAAAGAAGAGCTCCCTGTGTGCTTCCCTAAGCTCACCACGCGGGCTCGGGTCAGACCTGAGAACAGCTGTAGACAGTGCCTCAACCAGTGCTGTCAGAAGGGCTCTCGGAGACACTCGGACTGACCAGAGCACCTAATCAGACAGGGGCTGGACCAGCTGGCTTTCTAGGTTGGGGTCTGGAGGGGTTTGGGTTTCTCTTCTTCAAGGGTGAAAGAGGCTTTGTTTGAAGGGACCTCTCTCGAGGCAGCCCCGTGTGCAGGCGAAGTGTGAGACTCTGAGGGCGGAGGGCCTGGTCTCAGCGTCAGCTTTCCCGCTTCCTAACTTGCGGGTGTGGGAGCACAGCTTAGCCTTTCTGAGCCTCAGTTTCCTCATCTGTAAAATTGGTTTAATAATAATACCTACTTTACACATAGGGTTCCCGTGGAGAATAAATGCAGTAAAGCACAGTTCCTAGCACGCTGAAGCCCTCGGACATGAGCCGTTACTTCGGTGGTTGCTGTACTGGCTGCCGTTTAAGGTGGCGGTAGTGGCTAGAACAGCAGCCTTCGCAGGACTGGCTGTGTCCCGGCCTGTCGCGTCTGGCACGGCACCAGCTGGGGCCCCTTCACACTTCTGTCAGATGTGCCCAGCTTGCTTCCAGGTCTGGGCCTTGGCACGTGCCCGTGATCTGTCACAGTGGACGATGACAGGCTGGGACTGTCAGGGAGGAGTTCATTAGGCAGAAGGTGGTCATGACCCAGGCAGGCAAAGATGGGGCACCAACGTGGTGTCCTGCACAGTAGGGACCAAGTGGATCTTAGAGGAATCTAGCAGATGGTAGGGGAGTCCAGAGAGGTCCCTGAGCTAAGAAGAGTTGGGTGTGTTGTTTATACACATCTAAGGAGGCGGGGCTGGGTCTGAAAGGCCAGGGGTGGTTGCAGTTGAGTGCGTCTCACCTTGGGGAGCATCAGCCCCACGGCAGCCACTGTCGGTGTTGTGAGCGCCTGCTCTACTCTGCGTCCCTACTGCACAGTTTGAGGTTTGGGGAGTTCACTGATCATTAACATTTCAAAAAGCAAAATCTAATAGGGTGAACTGATGTAGAGTTGCATAGGTTTTATTTTGCCATAGAAAATTAACTGTGCTTTGGTGGGAAATTGTCAGAAATCACAGTCTTTACATGGCCAGATAGCACATGAAGGCCTCCAGTGTGTGTTTTCCAGCACCACCAAGCAATGAACTCAATTCAGTTCTGACACTCTCTGCCTGGAGACAGTGTCAGATCTCATTGGTTTGGGGATCAGTCCCACCAGACTATGCGCCTGCCCACCCCTACTTCAGCTGCCAATCGCAAATCCAGGCTGTGACCTGTGCTTCTGACCTACTGGCTATCAACTGGAGGTTTTCACAACCCCGTCCCTGGGTTCAGTTAATTTGTTAGAGTGGCTCACAGAGTTCAGATAAGTGTTTACTTACATTTATCAGTTTATTGTAAAGGATATGGATGAACAGCCAGATGAAGAGGTACACGGGGCACGTAGAAAGGGTGTGAAGTTTCCATGCCCTTCCTGGGCACCCTGCCTCTCCTCGAATCTTCATGTGCTTGCTTACCAGCCCGGAAGCTCTCCAAACCCTGTCCTTTTGCGGTATCATGGAGGCCTTGTTACACAGGCATGATTGATTAAATCATTGGCCATTGGCGACTGAACTCAATCTCTAGCTCCTCTCTCCTCCCCAGAGGTCTAGGGGTGGGACCAGAAGTTCCAACTTTAATCACAAGATTGGTTCTCCTGGGAACCAGCACCATCCTTAGGTTTCCTAGGGGCTTTCCCAAAAGTCATGTCATCAACATAGCAAGGTCCCATTACAACTCTAATCAGAAAATTCTTAGGGTTTTAGGAGCTCTGTGTCAGGACGGGAGGAAAGCCAAGTGTATATTTCTTACTATAATCACCATATCATAAGGTGAAAACAGAATTAAAAGAAGCATTGTACAATTTGACATCTGTTGAGCCATTCTTATCACAATAGCTCCATAATAAGATGAACAGACCCTTCCAGGTTTCCCTTGGATCCTCACGAGCATTTGGTCCACAGCTCTTAATTCCTCACCAGAGTACTTGGTAAAATATATGGGATCTCAGAATAAATTTTGACTGGAACTCAGATTCCAAGATAAGGATCACATATCATTGAGATTCCTCATCTGAAGTTATTTCAGATCCTGGTTTGCTTGCTTAAACTCTACTCTGCATACTGAAGCATAAACCCTGCTGTCTGGAATACTTATTCATAACTGATTAATGCGAAATTGGGGATATAACTGTCAATTATTAACTCAGTCCCTGAAGATGAAGAAGAGTATAATCGTCACGTGTGTACCAAAATAAAAGAGCCGGTTTTTTGTTCTCCATCAGAGCTTGTAATCTAAGCCTTCAGGACTTGAGTCTACAAATGTTTTCTTGTTTTTATTTGTTTACAAGGCAAAGATTGTACTTTCTCCTTAAATGGATGGGAAAAAATGGGGATTCTTGGGCCTTATGATTAGAAACTTCTGCTACTGGCACATGAAAAGATGCTCAACATCACTAATCATCAGGGAAATGCAAATCAAAACCACAATGAGATATTGCCTCACACCTGTCAGAATGGCTGTTATCCAAAAAGACAAGAAGTAACAAGTGCTGGAAAGGATATGGAGAAAAGGGAACCCTCATGCACTGTTGGTGGGAATGTAAACTGGTGCAGCCACCACGGAAAACAGTATGGAGGTTCCTCAAAAAAAAAAAAAATAGAACTATCATATGATCCAACAGTTCTGCTCCTGGGCATTTACCTGAAGAAAACAAAAACACTAATTTGAAAAGATATATGCACCCCTATGTTCATTGCAGCGCTATTTACAACAGCCACGATACAGAAGCAACCTAAGTGCCTATCAATAGATGACTGGATAAAGAAGATGTGTGTGTATCTGCAGTGGACTATTACGCAGCCATAAAAAAGAATGAAATATTGCCATCTGCAGCAACATGGATGGACCTTGAGGGCATGTTGCTAAATGAAGTAAGTCAGACAGAGAAAGACAAATCTTGTATGATTTCACTTATATGGAATCTTAAAAAACAAATGAACAAACATAACAGAAACAGTCATAGATACAGAGAAAAAACAGGTATCTGCCAGAGGGGAAGGAGCTAGGAAAGGAGAGAAATAGGTGAGGGAGATCAAGAGTACAAACCTCCAGTTCCCAAATAAATGAGTCAGGTATGAAATGTACAGTGTGGGGAATACAGTCAATAATTATGTAATATCTTTTGTGGTGACAGATGAAAACTAGACTTATCATGGTGATCACTTTGAAAGGTATAAAAATATCAAATCACTAGCTTATACCAGGAGCTAACGTAGTATTATAAGTCAATTATACTTCAAAAATAAACTCATAGAGAAAGATCAGATTTGTGGTTTCCAGAAGCAGGAGGTGATGAGAGAGGGAACTAGATGAAGGTAGTCAAGGTACAAACTTCCAGTTATCAGATAAATAAGTTCTAGAGTGTAATGTACAACATGATAAATATAATTAACATTGCTATATGTTGTGTATGAAAGTTGTTAAGAGAGTAAATCCTAAGATTTCTCATCACAAGGAAAAAAACTTTTTTCTATTTTCTTAATGTTGCTTCTATATGAGGTGATGGATATTCACTGAACTTACTGTGGTCATTATGTCATGATGTCTGTAAGTCAAATCAGTACGCTGTACACCTTGAACTTATAAAGTGCTGTATGTCAATTATATCTCAATAAAACTGGAAGACAAAAAAAAAAGCAGCAGCTATTCTGCTGGAAATGTCAGGCTTTAGAAGTGTCAGCCCACAGGTGCGTCACTGCCTGCTGCCCAGACTTGCAGCAAGCCAGCCAAGGGTTCCCTTTCCCTTCTCTTGTTCTAGTAAGTTAGTCATCATCTGAAGGCCATGTGCTTCAGAACAAGCCAGGACATGAAGAATCCAACTGGGCCATTCCTGGCCAAAAGCAGAAGGCTTAACAGACACATAACCGTGACTGTAAAGTAAGAAGACCAGCCAGGTGGAAAAACCAGTTTAGACCTCCTTCAAGGTAGATGGTGTCTTTCCCATTTATAGAAAAAGAAACTGAGGCTTGTTGTGCCCAAGACGGCCTGACTCCCGAGGTTCAGCCCTCAGCGTCCATAACGTTGCCTGTGTTAACCTCCCGCAGGTTCGTGTGAAGACAGCAAAGCTTTCCCAGAGTGCGTGCGCCACAGCTCAGTCTGAGAGACTAAACTGTCGACCAGGGATCCCTGTTTACTTCTCAATTCAGGCTGAAATGTGTTTGAAATAGGGCTGCTTTCTGTAAATGTTAAGCATGAAAAGAGTCACTGAGTTAGAGACTATCTGGTTAAGAACCCAAATATGGGTTTACTAACGCTTGGTACATGAAAATACCATTTTCCATTTTAAACTTCATTGTGGTTATCTTTAAATACATTAATTTTAATTTTCTAATCTATGTTGTGCCAAAGCAGCACCTGATCATCCTCAAAGTGCAGAAAAGATCTTCATGGATGGAATGAAATAAGGGTGTGTGTGAGTTGAAAGGACCCTAGATATGGAGTCAGAAATTTCCAGGTTAGAATCAGGTGTGCCCTTTACCAACTGACCCTGGACAGGACAGCCTCCCTCAGCCTTAGTTGCCTAACAAATAAAAAGGGAACAATAACTTAAAAGGCCCTTCTGGGTCAGTGAGATAATGTATCATGCTGTTAATCACTGTGCACGTGATAGATACTATTGTAGTATTTTTGTGTTTTAGTTAATAATTTAATGTAACAATCAATAGTGTATACCCATTTCAAATTTTTCTTAAAATAATACCTTACATTTGTTCAGTGCTTTGTGGTTACAAAGTAAATATATATATAATTGTTTGGTCCCCATCCAAACTCTGAAAGGGTGGTGGAAATAGCTTCATTTTACAGGTGATGCAACCAAGATGACACATCATGGAGTCAGTAAGTGGCAGAGCTGGGGAAGTCCGCTCCTCACTGTATTTATTGTGGCTACTTCCTCGTTTTGTAAGGTGGCTTGAACATGTCCTTGATCCGAACCTAGAAAGTGGGAGCTACTTAATCCCTCTTCTAAGAGCATCAAGGGACATGTAGAGAATGTATAAAGGTAGAATAGGTGCTGGGTACTTCTACTTACCTGAATTTTTCAGGTGAGAAATTCTGCTCGGAAGCTTGAACTGGCCAGAGCGTGTCCCTGTGTTGGTCACATCCACCAGGAAGCTGCCTAGCGGCCAGCTTGGCGTGGAGCAGACCTAGTTCACAAAGGAAAGCAATGAACTGTTTGAAAAACTGAAGAACAAGCACCCCTGGCTTTCTCTTTGCACATAGGAGAAGGGGCTTCCGTATAATGTGTCATAATCATTGTTTCCCCTCATGCATTTCATAGGTCCTGGCCATGTCAGGGGATTCTGTGCTGGCTGGGTCCCTGCCCTTCTCCCTGTCAGCCCTTTAAATTCTCACTCAGTTTCAAGGATTTGGTGAGCTCTGTCAAGCGGGCTGATTACTGTGATATCAGGTGCATTGTACACAGGAGATTTCCTCTGACTTGACCCTAGGAAGACAGAATTTCCTTTACAGTATTTGTACCGATAAATAATCCCTCAGCTTTTCATAGAAACAGAATTACACCAACAGATAAAAATTAACATTCTGGAAGTTTTTCTTTACAGAATAGAAATAAAAGAAGGAGATACTGAGACTAAAAAACGATTTGTTTTTGCCAAATTCAGTTACCTCAGTGAACCAGGTTGTCCCTCCCAAGAAACATCAATACAAAGAAGGCCCCTTACAGCTCTGGCTGTTTTCAGCCCCCACGCCGCATCTGTGAGCTAGGGCTTTGTCTCATGTCACGGAAGGGAAACGTGCTCAGAGGAGGCATGCAGTCTGCCCAAAGCTCCCGGGCGGCTTGTGGGGGCGCCTCCCACTGTAACACACTGTTTCCCTACATAAAACATAGTTTCCACATTAAAAGCTTTTGATCTTTCATGCTTTGAAGTTAGTAATTCAGGTACTTATATAAGTTTCATTTTTATATGATGAAGCAGTCACAGCAAATTACTGCAAGAAACATTTTCCAAGCTGAGCAAGTTCCAGTTACCTTACCCCTGAACTCAGCCAGGACCCGGTTTCCTGTAAACCAGGGCTGGATGGGGTTCCTTGTCTGTGTGTCAGAGCAGGGTTGTAGACATGCTGTAGTGCTGGTCCTTGCAACGTTATACTCTACAGGTAATGATCCTGAGCTAAAGTATTGTAATTATGGTCCCTCCTGACTCCTCCCCAGGATGGCTGAAACATTCCATCCAGGTTCTGGGAGGAAGAGGAAATATTGATAATTGTGACTTAAATCCCCCACCCAAGGTCGGAAACTGTTCAGTTTGAGGCGAGTTGTTAAGCTCTCTAAACTATAATCTCTTTGGCTTTATATGATAAATTTAAACGAGATGAACTAACAGTCAGGAACGTCGTCTTACGTTTTCATAATACAGTATTGTATTTAATGGATCCCTAACTGAACATTTTTATTCATTTTGGTTTCTTTCTTTGCCTATTAGAGTAAAAAGAGCCTTGTAAATACTTGGATTTGAGGCCTCTCTGAGAACACTGAGTGTGTAGGAATTAATACAGAAGTTTAAAATATGGCCCGATTTCTATCAAGCAAATACTAAGGGAGAATTGTGAATTTAGGGGTTTTGATATCTCAAAGGAGCCGTGAAAGTATGGTCCCGAACATGTGTATTAAAAACACAGTGCCCTTTTTTGTAAGCACACATCACACCTTGGGAGCAGGCCAAATGCTCCTGTTTGTGTCATCAGCACGATCTGTCTCTCAGAATTTGCCCTGCTCTCCCAGTTGGGTACCTGTTCCATTTTTAACCCAGTTGTAAACTCTTCATTAGCACTGCTCCATCCACTCAGCCTGCAGCTGCCGTTTCATCCCTGAGGACGGGTGCTGTTTCAGTAGCAGACAAGATGATCCTAGTATGTGCAGCCACTGAAAGTACAGCCATGGTAAAGGACAGGAGACTGCTTAAGTGTTTTGATATTTTGTAAAAGATACAGCAAAACATTCACTCCAGAACACCTTTCATATTGCCTTTCTTGGTTATCTCATCACAGGTAAGTAATCTTCAAGTCTGAATAATAAACTTGACTTCAGAGTTTGCTAGTTCTTGGTTGTCTTGCAGCTAGTTTCTGATGCCACAGTTACCAAAGATATTATTCTCTATGGATCTTTCTTTCGGCAGCTGACGTACTGTTTATATGGTCTGATAAAAGCGTGAAGGCTGGATGAATCAGTAATGGAAGTTTCCGTGCTTTGGGCTTTTCCCCTACAGCAGTTCGTCCCCATGTGCTGCTTCCTCCCCTTTGATGATCTCTGCAGCCTTTCTCTGCACCTCCGGGGGCGTCATAGGTACACGCAGAACCGCACGTGCACAGGTGTGCAGTTTGGGCTGACTTTTCAGTGAGCCGTCTAAGTTCAGCAGTACTCTGAACTTTTATAAACATTTTCCTCACAGAGACTCCACTCCCAAAGTTAAGTCTGTGTGTGTCTAACTGCTCAATTCCATTAACTACTGCGTTATAGAAACGTACAGGTTTCTTTCCCCAAAGCACTTGTGTGTATTATTATCTAAGATCTTTTAAAACTGGAAAATAAGATTGAAAATTGCCTTATCCTACTAAAATTCATTGTTATATACATTGGCCCCTGAAAGACAACTTGAAACTTGACACTAGAGGGTTTATAAAGAGGCACGAACTTACTGGTTAGTTTCAGTAAGTTATTTTGTATAGTAGACTCCTGTACTTAGTAATTACTGACATAGAAACTTTTGCTTTTGTTTTGTTGTTTCAGAAACTCCCTGCCAATTTTATAGGGGAAACTACCATGTCTCTCCAAGCAATCCTTGACACCTAGAGTGTGAGGGACAGAGCGCACCCATTGGTCAAGATGAGGGGGGTGCTGGTGGGCCACACGGCGGGAGGGACCCTGCTCTGGGGTGGGCAACGCCCTCTGCTCTCACTGGCTCTTGGTCGGGGCTTATTTTGCACTGAGAGGCCCCCGGGCAGTTCTGAACTTGTGCTGGTGGCGAAGGCACGCAGGCTTTCTCTTCCTCCCATCTCGTTGTGCTTTGCTGGACTTATAAGAATTAGAAGCATCGACATGTTTTCTTCCTGGGTTAAAAATGGCTTAATTCAGTTGAAATGAAAACAGTTTTAAAAGCATGAATTCCTTAGGAGATCCTACACATTCTGGGACTTACTGTGTTTATTTTTTCCATCCCTGGGCCCTTAGTTCTGAGTACAGTTTCTAATCATTCGATGGATCAGACACTGGGATCAGCAAGGGGTGGACAGCTGGTTTCCTAGCACACCGCTGCAGCCTTGACACAGCTGAAGGAAACAGCTTCAGCGGGCTGACCAGACTGTCTGCTGAATAGGCCATCCCCAGGGCTGAGATCCAAGAACGCTGAAGCATTGTTCAGGGCAGCCTGCAGAGAACTGCAGATCACTGGTATGAAATAAAGCTCTTTTTAGGATTAAGAGCGTGATTTACAGACCATGCTTTTGGTGAGGTGGTTTTTCTGGTATGTGGTGTGTTTATCAAAGGACAGTGAGTCAAACATCAACCCTCATTAAAGGAAACTGTACAGGCAAACCTCAGAGGCTTTATATTGTAATATTTTTCTCTTGTACAGTTGTGATTTTCTTTTTCATTCTGAACAGTTATTTGGTAAGAGTCTGAATTTTATTTTTCATTTCTGCTTTTTCAGCCTTCTGCCCTATTTTCCTATCCTTACTAAATTCACGCAGCTGCCGTAGTGGCTTCTCTTTGCTGTGATACCCGGCCCCCTTCCATCTATCTTTCTAGACATTAAACCCTATTTTCTTTGCATCAGTTTTGTACGTCAAAGCATCTGTTCTCTTAAAGAGAAACAGAACGCTTTAATTATTTTGACCTTATATTCTTTGTCGGAGTATATTTCTCCCCACTGATCTTTTAGTAGGACATATATATATACCTTTAAACTTAACTGACCTATCACACAGATATGCCATTCCTGGTCTGGTAAAATCCATGGGCTTTTTTCTGTTTAGAATTTACTATTTTCTAAGTTAATTCTCCACCATCCCCACCCAACAATCATAAAGTTTTTTTTTTAGTGAGAGATGCTTTTCTTCAAAACTCATACACAGTTTAGCATAGAACATTTAATTAGGCCTTATGAACTGAAAATGAATCACCATATTTTCTCTGTGTGTCTCCTTAATCAGGATTTAAGAATACTTGTAAAAATACTTACTACTTTAAAAATGAGATCATTTCATTATGAAGTCCTTCCTACAATGAGCTGTCTTACAAACTAAGAAACAAGGTTTCCCTAAGAGCTAAACTAGCAGGAATCAGCCTGCATATTAGCTGAAGAAGTCATCTCCCCGTAACAGTAGCCCACCGCAGAGGTCACCTGCAGTGGGCAGCTGTGGGCATCTGAGAACGTCCAAGTCCAGGTGAAGGGACAGGAGTGCTGTCTTCACTACAGCCACGCTTGTCGTGCGTACAGATATGTGTGGGGACACGTGCTTTCCTGACCCTCCTCTCACTGGGCTGCGCTGCTTGAGGGCTGGGTCTTGCTTCACTCTGGTCATAGTGTCAGAGTCCTCATCCCAGCTCGTTTTCTCATCTCTTTATCAATGAAATAGCAGTTACCTAGAGGAGTCGTGAGGACTGTAAGTGTAAGACACATGGCACACAGACACTGCTGCCATTACGATTTTTCATCATCTCCCCAGTGGTGCATATTAAGTGCCTATTATAGCAGTACTTCCTCAAACCAGGCCAGCTCCGTGCATCACAGACACGCGCAGACGCCCCGCCACAAGGGCTGGCGCTCAGGGCAAGTCCCAGCCCAGGAAACACCCTCCTTGTGCTTTGCCCTGCATCCTTGAATGAAAGGAAACTGGGGTCCATGGCGATGGGGGTTGTGCCCTGCTGACACCAGAGCGGGCGCGGCTTTAGCGTGCAGAAAAGATTTGAGCCGCACAAGTGTTTAGAAGAGAAAAGACACAAGAACTTGTCAAAGCCTTCTTATCAGCATGAATACAACAGATTTTGCCATAAGAAAATAGTTTCCCAGTAAAGCCAAGCTCCCACTTGCTTGCTTGTCTTAGGATTTCCCTTCAGTGTTCTGGAGGTTTTTGTGACTTAGGACAGTATGAGGAGTGGTTGTACTTGGAGGCTGGCAAACATCTGTAATGTTAAATCATATTACTCATACATGTGTACATGTGTACGTCTTAGAGAACATACAAGTTTGAAACTGATTCATTAATCATTATTTTATAGGGAAATTTTAAAACATTCAAAATTTAGGTTTTCAATTTTTTAATTAAGGTAATTTATATTTTGACAATATATTAAAATCTTGTCCATGCTGAATATTCATCTGAGTATTACCAACTCATTAACAGGATAATCAATGTGTGCAGTAAGTTAATTCTGTCACCTCATATTTTGCTGTCTTTTGTTTTTAAAAGTCATGGCTTTCCACGTTTTGAAGTTCAGCTGGCTTACAGTATTATATTGGCTTCAGGTGTACAACACAGTGAGTCTATACTTTTATACATTACAAAGTGATCACCGCGGTAATTCTGGTTACCACTTGTCACCATACAAAGTTCGCGCATTTAAAATTTGTATTGTAATGAAGGTATATTTGTCATGGTAGGAGGAATGAACATACTTAATGGTTTTTAGCTTATTTTATAACTTTCAGATGTTTAGAAATACGGTACACGGGCCTTTATTTGCCCCTGGTGGGCCAGGCAGATGGGAGCGGTCGGTCTGTAGATGCGGGCGGGCGGGGAGACGAGGGGGGCAGGCAGAGGAGGGGCTCTCAGCCCCCAGCGCTGAGCACCGTCATCTCCCGGC